ATGTATGATATTCTCTATATAGCAGCCAGGGTGACTCTTTTGCAATTGAAGTCAGTCAGTATCACTCTTCCACTCAGAACCTCCAAAGTCTCTCCTTCACACAGAACACAATTCACAATCATGATGGTGGCCTCAGAGCTGCCTCTGCCCTATTTACTACCACCTCCCCCATTCTGCTACAGCTACTCCATCTTACTTACTTGACAACAGTGTGCTCCTCCTTCAGGGCCTTTGCTTTTACTTATCACTCTGCCAGAAGTCTCTTTCCTGCAGTGTTTGTAGGATTAACTGTCCCCTTCTTACCCACATAGGGGTCTATTCAAATTTTATCAGAGAACTTGTCCCTAACTATCCGATGTCAAATAACGCAACTTTTATCAATTCTATCCCTACTCTTTAAATAAAAAACAAAACAAAAAACTCCTTTTAAGTCATCACAATTCCAGACTTTAAGATGTATTACAAAGCTATAATCATCAAGACAGTATGCTATTGGCACAAAAACAGGCACATAGATCAAAGAAATAGAATTGAGAACCCAGAAATGGATCCACAAACATATGGCCAACTAATCTTCTACAAGCAGGAAAGAGTATCCAATGGAGAAAAGACCATCTCTTTAGCAAATGGTGCTGGGAGAACAGGACAGCAACATGCAGAAGAATGAAACTGGACCACTTTCTTACACCATACACAAAAATAAATTCAAAATGGATGAAAGACCTAAGTATGAGATAAGAAGCCATCAAAATACTGCAGGAGAAAATAGGCAACAACCTCTTTGACCTCAGTTGCAGCAACTTCTTGCTTGACTTGTCTCTGGAGGCAAGGGAAATAAAAACAAAAATGAATTATTGGGACCTCATTAAGATTAAAAGCTCCAGCACAGCAAAGGAAACCATCAACAAAACTAAAAGGTAACCAACAAAATGGGAGATTATATTTGCAAATGACATATTGGATAAAGGGTTAGTAACCAAAATCTATAAAGAACTTAACAAACTCAACACCCAAAAAACAAACAATCCAGTAAAGAAATGAGCAGAAGACATAAATAGACACTTTTCCAAAGAAGACATCCAGATGGCCAACAGACACATGAAAATATGCTCAATACTGCTCATAATCAGAGAAATACAAATCAACACCACAGTGAGATACCAACTCACACCTGTCAGAATGGCCAAAATTAACAACGCAGGCAACAACAGATGTTGGTGAGGATGTGGAGAAAGAGGAACACTTTTGCACTGCTGGTGGGAATGCAAACTGATGCAGTCATTCTGGAACACAGTATGGAGGTTCCTCAAAAAATTAAAATAGAGCTTCCCTGGGACCCAGCAATTGCACTACTAGGAATTTATACAAAGGATACAAAAAATGCTGATTTGAAGGGTCACATGCACCCCAATATTTATAGCAGCACTATCAATAATAGCCAAATTATGGAAAGAGCCCAAATGTCCATTGACTGATGAATGGATAAAGAAGATGTGATATACCTACACAATGGAATACTACTCGGCAATGAAAAAGAATGAAATCTTGCCATTTGCAACAATGTGAATGGAACTAGAGGGTATAGTGCTAAGTGAAATAAGTCATTCAGAGAAAGATGGGGATCATATTATTTCACTCATGTGGAATTTAAGAAACAAAAGAGATGAACATAGGGGAAGGGAAGGAAAAATAAGATAAAAACAGAGGGGAGGCAAACCATAAGAGACTTAAATACAGAGAACAAACTGAGGGTTTCTGGAAGGCAAGTGAGTGGGAGGATGGGTTAAATGGGTGATGGGCATTAAGTAGGGAACTTTTTGGAATGAGCACTGGGTGTCATACATACGAGATGAATCACTGGGTTCTATTCCTAAAGCCAAGATTACACTGTATGTTAACTAACTCGAATTTAAATAAACAAAACAAAACAAATCCATATATGCTGGCTGGGGTTTTTCATGGATGGCCTTTATCAGGTTGAGAACGTTATGTTCTATATTAGTTTACTGAGTATTTTTATCATGGAGGTGCTGGATTTTGTCAAGTGCTTTTCATCTATTAAGATGATTGTGTGGTTATTGTCCTTAATTCTATTGATATGGTATATTAATTATTTTCAGATGTTTGGAGACTTAGTTTTAACAAATGATATTCTAACAGGGAAAAAAAAACCTCCTTTTATCAGTTGATTATTATCTTCCCCACCAGAACATCAGTTTTTGAGTGCAGAGAATTTTTTTTATGGCTGACTCCCCAGTTCTTAGACAAAGGCCTGAGATAAACACTTAGTAAATACCTGTTATTGAATTACATAATCTTTGGGTGCCTAATAGAGTTAGAGAAGGGCTGTCTTCTGGGGTTCCCTAATACTCCAGATGGATGTTGCCCTTCCCACTCTCAGTGGGTAGGAAAGGAATCAAAATCCAGAAACATGGCTTCTATAGAAGGAGATAGGAAGAATAGCACCATACAATCGAGGTGTTTGCCGAATTTGTACTGCCTCTTCACCAAAGCTATTGGCTATTTTTGAATTGAAAATTTTTCCTTTAATGCCAATGACATATGTTAACCCCATTGTGCCAAAGAATGCTGCAGGTTCATCAAAGTCCATGTGTACTTCTTCATGGTGTCCAGATACATTGTTTCCATTCTCCCCTGGCATTTGGGTGAGACCCTGTGACAGTCCCAGCCAATGGAAAATGTTTGCCTCTGTGTGCCACTTCCAGGTCTGGCCCATTAAAGAAAAGAAAAGAAAAAAAGCAAATGAAACAAAAAACAAAACAAAAGCCCTTTCTGCACATGTTCTGTGCTCTTTCCCTTTCTGTCTGCTAGATGTTAATGCTCCAGGAAACCTTGGAATCCACATGCTGAAGCTTGGCATAACTTTTGTCTGCCTGGGTCTCTGAATGACAGCACAGAGCAGAGCTACCACTGACTTGAACACCTGCCTGTTGATTTTGAGCCATTACACACTGTGGGTCTGTTTGTTAACATGCAATATTTGTCACCTTCTTACTTTTAAAAAAAATTCATTGCTTGTGCGAAATTCAAATTTAACTGGGCACCTTGTATTTTTATTTGCTGTATCTGGCCACCTTACAATAAGGAATCACATTTAAATTCCTTACATATCCACCCAGAAACTTGTACATGAAGGTGTATAACAGCATTATTCATAATAGCCAAAAGGTGGAAACAGCTCAAATGTACATCAGCAGACGGATGTATGAACAAAAAGTAGTATATCCATGTAAGGAATATTATTTGGCCATAAAAAGATATGAACTGCTGATACATGATACACAACATGGATCAACCTGGAAAATGTTATGCTAAGTGGAAAAGGTCAGTCACAAACACCCATATACTCTATGATTTCATTCATATGAAAATCCAGAAGAGGGGAATCCATAGAGAGAAACCATAGATCACTGGTTGCCTCAGTCTGGGGGGAAGGGGAATGGGAGGATAGGGAGGCTAACAGCTAAAGGACTCATGGTTCCTTCTTGAGGTGATAAAAATGTTCTAAAATTGACTGTGGTGGCAGTCGCACACTTCTGTAAATAGTCTAAAAATCATTAAGCTGTACACTTTAAAATGTACAACTATACACTTATAGTATATGAGTTATATCTCAATAAAGATGTTTTTTAAAAACAGTCCTTATATGACTGTATGTCCCAGCAAGCTCTAGCATCTGTGTCACTGCTCTGCTGCCTTAGCTACCACTTAGGAAGGCATTAAGCATTCCAGAAAGTGATCTTTAAAAGAGGGAGTTTAGGGACGCCTGGGTGGCTTAGTCGGTTGAGCGTCCGACTTCAGCTCAGGTCATGATCTCACAGTCTGTGGGTTCGGGCCCCGTGTCAGGCTCTGTGCTGACAGCTCAGAGCCTGAAGCCTGTTTCCAATCCTGTGTCTCCCTCTCTCTCTGCCCCTCCCCCAGTCTCACTTTGTCTCATTCTGTCTCTCAAAAATAAATAAATATAAAAAAAATTGTAAAGAGGGAGTTTAAATGGTGATATTGTATAAAAAGCAAATAAATAAAAACCTTGATTCTTCTTGAAGTGGTGTTTGACAAATAAAGAATTTTTTCAGTCTCCAAATATAATCTTGCCTGAAAAAGTAGATATGTAAATTATGAATATGTATCTCCATAAAGCTTTTTAATTTTCTCTCTTAAAATCTTCATTTTCTACTACTCAAAAACAATCCCTCCAAATACCTCTCCTTAGTTAAAATATATTAATTATATAACTGCTGGAAAGTACTTTAGAAAACATTTTTTTACATTTTTCTCCATACAGTCACAAGATCACTATACTTCCCACCAATTTTAAATTTGTAATATATAAGGAATACCAACATCTTCATTTTTTTTAGCTCACACGATTGATATTACCATGACAACTTACCACTAGAAGGGTAAAATTGGTTAAATTCTCCTACTATTTTATTTATAACATTTAGATTTTAATGCATGTCTCTGCAGTTCAGATGAAAATGCAATAGGTTTAAAAGTTTTTTATTTAGGGACACCTGGGTGTCTCAGTCGATTGAGCGTCCGACTTCAGCTCAGGTCATGATCTCACAGTTCGTGTGTTCAAGTCCCACATCGGGCTCTGTGCTGACAGCTCAGAGCCTGGAACCTGCTTCAGATCCTGTGTCTCCCTCTCTCTCTGCTCCTCTCCACTTGCTCTCTCTCTTTCAAAAATAAATAAACATGTGCTGACAGCTCAGAGCCTGGAACCTACTTTGGATTCTGTATTTCCCTCTCTCTCTGCCCCTCCCCCCACTCGCTCCTGCTCACTCTCTCTCTCTCTCAAAAATAAATAAACATTTATTAAAATGAATTATTTAAGTCATCTATGATTTTGATTTGAAAAAAGCAGGAATTAGAGTAATTTCTAATATTTTTGACATGAACAGATGAAAATTGCACTGTCTTATTTTATCATAGAAAGTTACCCATGAAAAAATGAGCAAAAATATTTTTCTTTGTAGGTATCAGTTAACGAAGTCAAGCGACTTTTATCACATATATTGGAACGAAGAAAATTGATTAAAGTAATCTATCAAAGAGAAAATGCCTTAGGAAAAAAGAAGATTCAACGTAAATTAAGAATAAGAGGAATTCAAAATAAAGATCTCTCAAAAAGAAATAAAAATCATTGTAAGTAGAATTCTTTCTAACATAAATTTAAAATTACTTGATGTAATCTAAAATAAAATTTTAAATCTACTTTCTGAAAACTCTTAGAATATAGTCATAAATATTTATATACACAAAACTTTAAATTTTGTGAGCTTCTTTTAGATTCAGAATTTGTTCTGATGATAATAAGCAAGGTTGATAATTAGGACTCATGGATTAACAAAAAATCTCCAGGGGTGCCTGGGTAGCTCAGTTGGTTTAGCATCTGACTCTTGATTTCAGCTCAGGTCATGATCTCACAATTTGAGTTCAAGCCCCACATCCAGCTCCTCACTGAGAGTGTGGAGCCTGCTTGGGATTCTCTGTCTCCCTCTCTCTCTGCCCTTCCCACTAACTTTCTCTCACTTTCTCACAAAAGTAAATAAACATTTTTTTTAATCTCCAAAATTATGTGGAGAAAACACGTGTCAGTTATTCTGCTAATAGAAACACTCCTGCTGAAAACAAAACCAAAATTAATATAGTGCCCCTGTTTTTTTTCTAGTCTAGCAATCTAAATCTCTTCCTAGTAAAGACATACCTGGTTAGTTGACAGATTTCTGTGGATGCAAGAAGGGTCTAGAAAATATAAACAATGTCTCCATAGCTTCTGTGTTCAGCAGTTAACTAGCCCTCAGTTATAAAATTTAGGAATCATTTCCAACATTTAATCATTTCCAACAGTTTCATGAAAACTATCTCTTTTCTAACAGATACGTATGAATTTCTATTTTATTAGCATCTTATTTAACAGAGGGAAACTTCTTTGGCAGACAAAAATTAAGGATATCCGTTTTTAATGGCATTATAAAATTATGAACATCTTAAATTCATTTTAAATCTAAGTCATATACATTGAAACATTAATTTGACAATTTTTTGATGTAGAAACATGGCTTTCCTTCTATTTAACATTGGTCTAATGATTGGCATTTCTAGTACAAACCACACTCAAACTGCATCATCCATGATTTCCCATCTTACATTTTCAATGAAACAAGGGACTAAAAACATTTATGGAACAATCTGTGAAGAGAATCCTTCCAGATATTTGTAGACTTTTTCCCAGTAATTTATAGATGCTTCACCTACTTAAATTGGATAATTATTAAGGGCTCTCCTTTATCAGGTTTTTTCATTGTTTTCCAGTAATGTTAATAGAAACACATTTTCTTTTTGTAATCAGTTTACATATTTTTTAATGTTTTAGCTATTTTTTAGAGAGAGAGCACAAGTTGGGTAGGGGCAGAGAAAGGGGAGGACAGAAGATCTGAAGCAAGCTCCATGCTGACAGCAGCGAGCCCAATGTGGGGCTCAAACTCACCAACCATGAGATCATGACCTGAGCCAATGTCGGAGGCTCAACCGACTGAGCCACCCAGGTGCCCCCAGTGTACATATTTTTAATTCAATTCTATAATTATAGTAAACAGGAAAACTGGCACAAAAACATTTGGGATCAAACACTCCTGATCATTGGTAAGCGTGCAAGGTGGGGGAACAGAATTGAACACATTTACTAAAGGAGAATCCAACTACCTGCAAGTATTTAGTGTGCTGTAGACATCAGTAAGAAAGTTAGATAGAGGAAATGAAAAGTGTTGATTAATTTGGCAAGTAAGGAAGGTACAGATTGTTGAAGGAGCTTCTGCAGTTTAAAAGAGTAAATAAGAGAGGCGCCTGGGTGGCTCAGTCAGTTAAGCGTCCAAATCTTTTTTATGTATATACTTTATTGCCAAATTGGCTAACATAGTGTGTACAGTGTGTGCCTGGTTTGGGGGGTAGATTCCTGTGGTTCATCGCTTACATTTCTTTTAATATGATTTATTGTCAGATTGTCTTAAGTGTCCAAATCTTAATTTCAGCTCAGGTTATGATCTCACAATTCATGAGATTGAGCCCCACATTGGGCTCTCTGCTGCCAGTGTGGAGTCTGCTTGGGATTCCCTCTCCCTACCTCCCCTATTCGCAGTCTCTCTCTCTCTCTCTCTCTCTCTCTCTCTCTCTCTCTCTCTCCCCCCCCAAAATAAATAAGTAAACTTTTAAAAGAATAAAAAAAGAGTAAGTATATCACTACATTGTACACCTGAAACTAATATAAAACTGTGTGTTCATTATACTGGAATTTAAAAACAAATAAAATAAAAGAGTAAATAATACCACCCTTCAAAAGAGATCTCTTTCCCTTATGTAGAAGTGGTTATATTATTATACCTAATAATAACAAATAATAAGTTATTTTTAATTGAGAATTTTCTATATTGTTTTAAGTGCTCTACCCAATTTAAGATAGGTTATATTATCTCTACTTTGTAACACTTGAAATTTGCAGCACAGAGAAATAATTTGCTTAGCATTATGAAAGTTACCTAGCAGGAAAACTAGGATTTGAACTTAGATGGTCTGGTGCCAAAGTCCTCTAGCCATTATGCCATATGCTTCTCATAAAAGTAAGGTGACAATAATCAAGAAATTTTAACGTCATGCTCCTGAAAATGGCTTTGGGCAAATATTGAATTACATGATAAAGATGCTACAATTTCCTGACCACCAAATTTACTTGAAGGTTTTGAAGGAAGTAAATAATAGTAAATAACTGCAAACATCTTTATTTTAGAACTCACAACTACAATGTATGCAAAAGACTTCAAAATTCATGTTTTGATATCAAAACGAAGATTTCAAAGAAATGCCTTCCTGTTCTCCAGACCTCTAGGGAGTGTTAGATGCATTCATCACTGACTACATGAATGTTCCAAGGACATTTGAGAAGCCCTGTCTTATAACAGTCTGAAGATTTACATAAATTAGAAAAATATTTCTTCCTGACAGAAGTACATATAGAAGGGTGGTCACTGCTAATAAGACCCATAGATAGAAATTGAGAACTAAGGGACTCCAGAGGACTCTTATTGATTCTAGTTGATAATTTTTTATGTGAGTCTTATTTGATAATGATTTTTAATTGTTTTACCTTAATATTTAAGAGTGTTTTCTCCCACATTTACTCCAAAATGCTGCTTCCCTGCTCAGTTGAAGAGTTCTAGATATGACATAAAAATGTTGACATGCATGGACTTGAAATATCAGGTAGAGCTCTGATAGGAAATAAATGGCACATTTAAATTGAGTCCTTTGAGAAAAAGTTTAATAAAGGGTTTGTTGATTACATCAATTAATTAATAAGCTATTCTCTCCTAATTTTCTCTCACTCAAAATTTTGATCAGCATCCTTCCAATCTTTTACCCCACGTTTTTTTAGAGGAATTAACAAGATACGGCCAAATTTAGAGCTTAGAGCCCACAATAATTTACCATAAATCTCTAGGATTATATTTACCCACTGATCAACCAGATAAAAATCTAGTGATGAGGTTGAGAAAATAAAATCGTATTTACCAGAATGCCTTGTACAGTGTGCACTGCCCTTGTTATGGAAGATACCTTAATAGGCATTTGTGATAGAAGAGAGATAAACATCCCCTCCTGATCCCCTACCTCCAACTCAACACAGAAGCCTGGTGTCATCTGATTCCAAATATTTACACATGGAAAGAAATTGCACTGTAGAGCCAGGGAGAAGAATTTTGTTATTTTTGTAAAAGTAAGAAGAAGAGAGAATGGGAGATCAATGGGAGAAAGCAGACATAAGGATCCAGAAAGGTGGTTATTGACTGCGCTGACTTGAGAAACCAGCACAACTCCAAAGTTAGGGGAACCCAAATGATATTTTAAAATTGGTGATGCCTAAGCTGACCATTAAAAGTTGTTTTTGTTCTTAGAATTAATCATCTTTCATTCTGCTCTATGAAATCATTGGTAAAAATCTATATTCCTGACAAATGCTTTTCAAGAGTGAATATTCTTTTGAGACAACTTGAAGAGTTGTTGGTTTCACTGTGGGTCACTGTGAGACAGTCCAGGAACAGTACCTCTCAAATCAGGAATTAAGAAAGTAGGGAAAGCCATGGAGAAGTAACCTTCTCTAGAGGGAGGGTTTGAACTTTACAAGCTGTAGAATAAACTGGGAATATAGGGTATACATGGTTATCAAGCTGGCTAAAAACCTTGTTCAACTCTGTTCTCACTCAGTTCCCACTTCAGCATTATACACATAGGATATCATAAGAGATGGAATATAGGTGTTCTATAAAAGTGCTGTTCCCAAGACTTACTAGTCTTCCACATATGAGAAATGAGATTTAACTTAACATTATCAAAAACCTTTCCTAATTCTTAGTGACCACATCTCCTTAACTCAAGGCTTACAAACCATGTATAATAACCTATTAGAGAAATCAAAGAGATTAACATCAAGCTGTTTCTAGAATATGAATATATTTCTCCACATTTTGAAAAGAGAGAAACTGTTTACCCATTTTCCATTTTCCCCCTACCTAGAATTTGTCAAATAATAACCAATAGCATTTGCACTACCATTACTTCAAGGCAAGATCTGTGCCTGGCATTGTATCTGTCACATACTTAATATGAATCAATATTTGCTGAATTAAATTGAGTTGAATTCTTTTTATGTAAAGCTAGGATATAAAATCAGGTCTTCTGACTCCAATTTCAGCATTCTTTGCAATATACTACACTATAAGTGCTACATAAACATAAGAGAGCCTTCCATTTTTAGAGTATATTTGAATATTGTTTTACAGTTGAACATAATGCTTTCACATCCATTCCATTTTTTTTAATGGCATGTTCATTTTCCCTTTAGGTATCTTTTCACTATAATTTCAATAGCAATCCTTTTTTTCTGAGACAGAATTGAGTATCATAGATTAATTACCTTTATTAAATTGTTAGCAAGACAAATCAATAATTAATCATGCACTGGGAACAACGGAGCATATTCCTGCTGGCAACTGGAACACTACTTCTAAGTCCTTCCTGACAAGTCCTTACTGGCATTTCTTGGAGTTAATCATCATTAATTTTGGTGATCAGACCAGATCACTACTATGTTC